GGAAGACCCCCAACGAGATGGATCAGCCAGGTGGCATCATTGATGGACTCCAGTGTGGCAGCGGTAGTGAGGTTGGCCCAGGATCGAACATTGTTTCATTCTGCTGTGCATGGGGTCGCTGTGAGTCGGTTCCGACTCGATGGCACCTGACAACAACAACATCAACACCACAGTATGGCAAACTAAGAGATGAGTGGTAGAGATTCAGGAGTAAGACTTGTCATATTTAAAACATGACTCAATCTCTTATTGATAATGTAACCTTAGACAAATGACTTAATCTCTCTAGACCTTTGTATTTTTGACAGTACCTACCTCATTGTAAAAAAGTTTTTAAAACAATGTCTGTCACATAGTTATTTTTTAATAGAAGCTTATTTGTCTTTTTGTAGCTATATTGGAAATATAAAAGATCCATTCATTAATATGATTGAATGAAATATTTGCTTTGAAGAACATATTTACAAAGTCGGAAAAAATTACAAAAGATAAATTATGTGAACAGTCATGTTTTTACATTCAATAATTCAGAAAACTTATTTTTGATAATGTGATTGAATTTCATATTATGAAATGATTTCCAGAAAGGACAGAATTTGTTGAAGAATAATCATAAGAATAAATTTACATTTATGAAATATTAGGTTAGCTTTTTTTCTAGTACTATTTTTTTCATAAGGTTGTAATTGCCCTCAGGGAACTCATAATAAAAAGTCGCTTTCTTCTCACATATGCCTTCATGCGGTTGAAACAAAACTACTGAACTTTTCGTATGTTTTTGCCTCAGGGAGAGAGTCTATACCAAGTATAAAATGAGACAGGTTAATGAAGGGTTTCTGTATTTACCTATTTCATGCACTGTTCCAGAAAGTATACAAGATTTGGGTTATTGAGTTAATCTGAATTTAATACCAGTCAGTTCAGTGAAGAAAAAAGTCCAATCAAATCACATACTATGTTTATAAAGCAGTTAATTTGAAATTTTTAATAGTTCCATTTTCTTATGCATTTTGTAGGCAATCATACTATTTGAAAAACAGGTTCCGACTTGTGATTGTGTATATTTTAAAAGGCTCTGAGTTCTGACTACTTCAAAATTATGTGATCTAGCCTATTAACACTGCTGCTGCATTTGAACTCATTTTTGTTGGGCTCAAACATAACAACAGTAGGCTTACAGGTAACAATTTTATGAGGATGGTGCAGGACTGGGCAGTGTTTCATTCTGTTGAGCATAGGGTCACTATGAGTTGGAATTGATACAACGGTACCTAACAGAAACCACAACAACATTAACACTTATTGAATAAGTGTATGGTCTTCAGAAATGGATCAGGGACGTTGGAGGTTATATTTCAATGGAGTAATGTCACAGTTATTGATAATGCTATTTGCTAGATTGGCTAGTTAGTCTGGTGTTTTTCAAACTTCCCCCCACTTTATATAGCAGCTTACATTTCTCTTCTGTAGCACACTTCATATTTATAGATAATTATTTGCTTATAACGATTACACTTTCGTGAGAATACAAATTCCAAGAGGACAAGTCCACCTTATTCAGAAATTACCTGAATGAATAAATAGATACCTCTTAAAGATCTGGGAGCGTAATCCAAAACTACATTCAATGGAAAAAGAAAATCTCTGAAGATACTGGTTTTTACTTATTTTTCAAATTCATATGACTTTTAAATTCTCATCTGTTATATATTTCTGTTACTATGACATGTATTTTGTCATTCTCAAGACAAATTGTTACCCTGGAGAGGTAGGTACTATGATTTTAAGCACAAATCTGTGTGTGTGTATGTGTGTGTGTGTGTGTGTGTGTGTGTGTATAATGGCAGTTTAGGATATTTGAGGTTTGATTGTTTTTCTGTTTAAAAGTTGGGATATTGGAAAGAATACGGGCTTTGAAATTAGAATTTTATTCAAATTCTGCCTTGATTTTATAGTAAACATCTTAAACTTGAGCTGCAGCTGTTGTGATTAAGTGCTTTACAGTCAATTCTAACTTATAGTGACTCTGTATAGGGCTTACGAGGAGTGGCTGGTGGGCTTGAACTGCTGACTTTGTGGTTAGGAGTCCTGTACTTATCCAAAGCACCACACCAGAACTTGAGGTAGCATCTAATAAATGGGTCTGAGAATGCTTACCATGAATTTGTTTTGTTTAAGAAGGTGAAATGAAAAATGCTAAAAGTACTTGGCACGCATAATATATGTTCAAACATTGGCTCCCTTTTTCTTTCTTACTAGAAAACTTTTAGTTTCTCTTCCAAGAACCACAATTTATGCCTATTGGCACTGTATGATCAGCACTAGATTGCTAACCACGAGGCTGGTGGTTCAAATCTATCAGCCGCTCCTTGGAAAACCTCTACAGGGTTGCTATGAGTCAGAGCTAACTTGATGGCACTTAACAACATTTCTATTAAGCATACGTTTTCAATAACTATCAACTAAGAACTCAAAGTGTTCTCAGTCTTTGAGGCATGAGTATGGCTATTTGACTGAGAGAAAAAAAAAATTTACAGATTGTAGTGAACAGCCTTATAGATGGAAAAAATTTGAACAAGTGCCAATAATGTCCATAAAGAAAAATTAAATTGACTGAAGTTTTATTATGACTTGTTTAACAAGCTTTACTTGTCCCGAGACAATTGATTGAATCTGCGCTCTATTGCACTGAAAAGAAACTACAAATGCAGGCAGATACTGTGCACTTTGGGGAAATTAGGGACGATGTTCTTCAGAATACAAGAAGATTTTCAATGATTGTTGCAAGGAATCACAAAAGAGATCTTTGGTCCAAAGAAGATGTCTCTGAAAGAAATAAGAATAAGAGTTAAATTCAGCTGAATGTTAAGGTATATATTAGTCTTTTCTGGGTTAAAAATGGACTGTGATTTCCAGGATTTCAGATATAACTATTCTTTTTAGGTGAATAGAATACAAAGAGAATGAGTGGGAAGACTTGCCACAGAAACAACAAAGACCAAGAAGGTAATTAATTCTTCTGCTTTTCCCCCATTTGTCACTATCACTTATCAGATGATAAGTGATATGATAAAATAACTTATCAGATGATAAGTGATATGATAAAATAAGTGGTATGATAAATTAACATTGGTGGTGTTGGTTACGTGCCATGGAGCCAGTTCCAACTCCAAGCCGCTCTATATAGGGTTTCCGAGGCTATAAATCTTTACGGGAGCAGAAAGCCTCATCTTTCTTCCACGGAACTTCTGGTAGTTTTGAACTGCTGACCGTGAGATTAGCAGCCACCGGATTTGTAACCACTATGCTACCAGAGCTCCTTTAGGTAAATTTTAAACTTTATAATCATATATAATGTTTAATTTGTCTGATAAGGGTAGAGATGGGCCATGAAGCATGCCATCTGTGAGAAGCTTTTTTTGTTGTTTTTGTTGTTAAGTGCCATCTAGATGGTCCCAACCCATAGGTTTTCAAGGAGCGACTGGTGAGCTTGAACTGCCAAGCTGCGGTTCAAACTGATTTTGCAGTCCAGCATATTAATATATTGTGAAAAGTAGAAGATTAAAATTTTATAGTAAGGTCATTAAATAAAATTCTGAATTTTATAAAGATAATATGTAAAATGCCACTCAACTGTCTTCTGGTTGTAAGGATCTTGTAAGATAATGTATAAAATTGCATGAATTAATATAAAATTTTATATATTTGCAAGATGGTATTAAGATTATGACTAATTAGAAATATAAGTATCAAAGTAAAATTGTTACTGGGAAATTGGTATCCCAAAATGAAATAGAAATTAATTTGTAAATCCTGTCCTTATCCATTAAACACAGCTGTTCTTATCCCTTAAACACAGCTAATCACAAAAGCCTATCATAAGATAAATACAAGTCCATTTCAGTAAATTGATTTCAAGTCATACAATTACCGAAAAAGTAAATACAATATTTTAATATTAGATGCTATTTCATTTATGTAGGCCTGGGAAAACAAAAATCATTTCATGTGGTCTACTGACTCAAATTCTTGGTGTCAAAGTTCAGTACTATGATTCTCAGAATCGCTGGAGTGTTTGTTTAATATATACATTTATTAGGTCTGGGCTGGGTGGGATCCAAGAATGTGTACTTTTAACAAGCATTTAGGTGATGCTGATGCTGGTCTCTGGAAAGCACATCTTGAGAATCATTGGTTTGGTAGTAAACAAAATTTGGTCCAAGTCAAAAAACCTGGGTTCTAGTTCTGGTACTGATATTAAGTAGTTGTATAAGATAGTGCTGTTGCACCTTCCCATCATTAGATGGTGATAGCTGCTATGCTTCACAGAATTCTTAGAAGAGTGGAAATAAGGTGACATGCACTGAAAGTAATTGGAAAAAGCTATCTTCAGAATGAAATAACCAAGATCATAATACTTGAAAGAGTCTTCAATAATCAGAGAAAGATAATTTTTAAATCAAGAGCTGAAAATATTTATTGATACATCTATTGTTTTATATTTAAAATACGCCACTTAAAGGCAAATATGGTCAGCAAATATGGTCAGCCAGCACACATGTGCTGACCTATTTGTCCCATTCATGGTAAATATTAAATATATTACTTTTGTGCTATAAGCTTTGAAATTTAATTAACTGTTTCTTTTCTCTTAACTATACTTCTTAGTGACTTTTATTGACGTTCTTTGCATTCTGTGTAGCCCACAGATGCTGGTGTTTACTGTAGTAGAAAAACAGATAAGACTGGGAGAACAGATAAAAGGAGGATGTAGTAGGGAAAATAATAGTCCACTGTATTTGAGTATGACATCATTAAACAACAACAAAAGAGCAACCCTAGGTGAATTTATTAATTTTTAATTATATTTTTATAGACCCAACATTAAAAAACGAATTACTTACTTGATGGGGATACAGCACTTTATGTCAGTGAATTACTTTTATTTACGTCTTTTCTGATTAATTCACACATAGATCTACCAGACTTTTCTTTTGACTATTACTAAAGTTTTCTGTCTAGTTAATTATAGGTAGTCCACGACTTATTATTAGATGTATTAAAGTTATGATAAACTATACTTGCAAGCATCCACTTTTGGATTTGGGGGCTTTTTTGTACATTTTATCATTAGTAAATATGTGTTACATGCAGAATTACAGGGCATACTTTGCTGATGTTATCATTCTCATGCGAACACCCAAAGATAAATAAAGAACAGATTTATAAAAATGCTGATAATAAAGGCAATAATGAAACTAAAAAGAAATAACAAACAAAAAAGAGTTACTCAATTTATATCAGAATTGTCTGATGACAGAGCCTGTTGTAAATTGGGGACTACGTATACTTGATCCCATCTAAAACCTTTTATTAGTTTTCAGATTGGTTTAAGATGAAAACCTTAAGGTTGACTTCTATGACCAGTGCATTTTTTTTGTGGAAAAAAGATCTATTAAATTCTAAATTCCCCATCAGATTTTTACTACAAAAAATCTGATTGGTAATTTAATGGATTAGAGTGTCATTATTATTATTTTTTTATTTCTTAAACACAAATATTCTATTTCTTACATTATGATTACATTAGAAAACAACTGGATTTTGAATAGCAAAAAGGGTTGTTAGTTTCAGCAAACCAGTTATGACGTTGTCTTAAAAAATATATGTTATGTATATATTTCATGATTGTATTTTCTTACTTTGGGCAGCAGAGTAATTCGCTGAAATTGCAGTAACAGATCATCTCACATCCCTTCCCACTCCAGAAATGATTCTGGATGTTTACGTCAATCTGTGTTAGGTCAGCTACTCCTTCTGGAAGGTTGTGACAGTTGTCATCTTTTAGTATCTTTCTGTAGCAAGAGAGGCGATTTGCAGGCATGGCTTGCACTTCTACCAGCAAAGTTAGCCCAACAGTGACGGCGAGTACCAAAAATTTCATTTTGACTTTCAGCCCTGTGGTAGAAGAAAAACCCAAATATGTCATTACTTATTTTACTAAAAAATTGGAATCCATCTGATCATAAGTTGCTGTTATCATTCTCATGAACTTTTAGATAGAAAGAATGGCCTATTTTATTCTTTTTTTTAAATTTGAATAAAGGTTTTATTATTTTTTTAAGCTTTTATTGTGAATTGAGCGATAGTTCATATGGGAGGACATTGGTTTTGCACTCATCCTAATGTATTTTGTTTCATTGCAATGATTACAATCCCCTCCATGCATCATCATTTAACAGTATTTGCTTCTATTCCTTCTGGGTTTTTTTTTTGATGCACACAAAAACACTTCAAGAATATATAGTCATTTAAACAACCAAAGGGTACATTCTGCAAGCTAGCCTCCTGGCCACCAGCACACAGCCTTTCTCTTTCCATGAGTCTAGAGTTGTCAGCTGCTCTATCTCTCCAAGCTGTCACCTCTACCTCCATCTCTGGTGTTACTGCTTCTCTGGTTAGGGTCTCATGTTCCACTCATGCTCTTCTTCTTGATGGTCCTAGGGTCCTCTGTTCCTGGAATGTAAGATTAACCACTCCACCCTTTTTGTTATACATCTTCTACTGTTACAGTTATGATAATCACAATTAGTCATGATAGTAATTACTCACTATTGAATCAAAAGAATCCTTTCATCAGACCCATCTAGACAAGATGAAAACTATTCAGTCAGGACTCTACCTTTCCCATACACTCTGAATCTAAACTCAATCTTGAAAACTTGTAAACCAGCCACTCCATGTCTTTATAGCCCACCACTCCCATTTTATGTAGCCAATGTCTGAGTTTCCCATCTCTATCAACCCTCTATACCCAGGGGATAGGCTTGATCCTTGTTATGAAGACTCTTTCCCCCTTGGTTGGTATTTTGAGCTACTACATCCATAAGTATAGATCAAGTTCATCAAATGTAGCAATTGACAATTGCTTCCTTTAATCAAATTTCCTTTTCTTCTTCTAGTCGAGCTTTTGTCATCAAATCATCAAACCTAGGTTAAATGGGTACTATCTGCAAGTTTGGGCATTCTTGTGCATCTCCCTTGACTTCTTATCAGCAGGATGCTTCACTCTCGGCTCTAGCCCTCCATAGCTAGGTCAATGTCCATGGGCTCAGGAGTTCCCAAGTTTCCCCAATCCTTGGACCAACCAGCCCTTCCTCTTCTCTCTCTCATCTTAAGGTCGATAGGAGTTTATGGAATGTGGTCAAACTCAGTCCATATCTTCATTACTGTCTTTTCCATACTTCTACTTACTGTAGACAAATGTGGTCACCAGTGAGCTTACATGTTTACTTGTGTGTTCATTTGAGTTTCAGTTTTGGAGGAAGGTTTGTTCTGAAGGGACTTGATTGCTTGTCTTGATGGCTCCTTGGTGAACAGATTGCTTGTTCTTGTAATAGCCAAAAAGACTGCTGTTTTTGTTTTTCCTGCTGCTCTTTCTTTTAAGACATATCTTCTGTTCCTCTAGCCTCTCTGGGCTGGTCTGTGTGTCCTTTCAGGTGGGAAGCTTCCACCTCAGAAGGTTCTGATGGGGCTCAGGATTCTACCTAAGGTCCTGTGCACTACAAAGTCTCGGCAAGAAGCCTATTTCACTGGACAAGTTCTAGAACCCCCTTTAGGTATTCCAATCAGTTAGAAACTGAAGACGGGCTTACAAGCTTTCTGTAATCATGTTTCCTGATATTTCTTTCTATCCCACTCAAGTGTCTGTTTTACAATAGTAGGCAAAGGAAACCAATATTCATAAGATAATTAAGCATCTTAACGTTATTTCCCCTCTTTTACCCATTCAGACTATGCCTCGAACACTGTATCACAGAGCCCTGTTGTTCTAAGTTGAGCATACATCACTATTTACCTCTGCTTCATTTAGCCCATTCAACCCTACCTAAATATTCCCTTGTTCTTTCATTCCTTTCCCCCTTCTTATGCATTGCCCAACCCCTTCTTTGTATGTTGCACTCTGCAATGCATTCTCAACACTGCTTTTGCCTTGTCCCAAAGATTTTGGTATGTTGTGTTTTCGTTCTCATTTGTTTCTTGGAATTTGGTAAATCCACCTTTTATTTGTTATACTACACAGCAGCTTTTCAGCAGGGTGTTATTAAGTTTCTGTGTATTTGACTTTATTTCCTTGGTCTTCCTATTGTTGATTTCTAATTTTATAGATACGAATCAGGCTGCGAACCGCAAGGTCAGCAGTTTGAAACTACCAGCTGCTCCTCAGGAGAAAGATGAGACGTTCTGCTCCCATAAAGATTAACAGCCTTGGAAACCCTGTGCAGGGTCGCTGTGAGTCGGAACCG